GATTTTCTATGTGGAAATTAGCAGTCGCGTTCTCCGGACACAGCAACTATGAAAACGATGTGAAAACCATCGGCCCTAGCCGTCCGGTTAAAAACTTGTTTTCGCTAGTCCAGCGTTCGTTACCATATGACACAAATTTCCTTGCAGCTCCTCCTCACTCAAATCACCGTGTTTCTGCTACCTTCTCGAGGTGCCCCATTGGGTGCCCTTCGACTGATACAGAGGGTGGCTATTGCAGTCTTTTCTGCTCGTGATCGCCATTGGAAGATGACCGCGAATCGCGTATGGCGCGACGCCTAATGAGATTAAGTCCCGCCCGGACTGCGCTGATGCGGGCACCCTGGCCAAAGCAGAATTTCAATGAAAAAGCGACAATGATTGATTCCACGTTTTGGCATAGCACTAATTTGTTCACCGATCACATGATCGAACGTGCCGATGAAAATCTAGTGATCAGTAATCAATAAGCAACGATTCGGGGGCGAGTCATACAATATGCGACAATGGCGACGACATAACTCACTACATCACAGGGTCCGCTTCTTTGGTCGAATCCTGTTGTGACGAGCCTAGTACTTCTAGGTTGTCTGTAGCGAGCTGCTCGGTCGCCTCCGTCTCCGCCACTGCCTCCGCCGCTACCGCTATCGCTACCGCTGTCGCTGCCGCGATTCGCCCTCCGCCAGACTACGGTGACTGTAACGACAACGACGGCGTGTCGACGGAATTGTCATCGTCGAGGTTAGCTGCTGTGTGGCGTGACACCGTCGTCTGACCGCTGTTCTTCCTCTTAAGTCATTGTTTTCGAAAATTTCCAAAGTCGGTCGGATTCGATTCGCCACCGAGCCTCAGCAGCCTCTGCTACTTCCGCCGCTAACGCCTCTCTGTACCTCAAAAGCCACTGGCTCCAGTTCATCGCCGTTTCCGGGACGCCTCACGGATGGCCGAGTCGATTTCAGTAGCCCTGTCTGTTTCCTGGTCAGCCACCGCCGAATGCTGAAACGTCATGGATTTAATACCATTGCGACGACGAAACTACTGTCTGTTGCAGGTCTTGCTTCTTCACTTGGTGACCATCGCCAGTCCATGGGCTGACCTGCCAACTGGCCAAGTCAACGACTCGAGTGAGTACCTTTCGTTATACTTCGTCAGTCCCATGTCATGGTTTTAATTAACGCCGCTGTCTGATTTGCGCCTGCATATCCGACTGCAATGTTCAAATCTTTGCCAATTGTTGCTGGATCGCACACAAGCCAACACACCGCATTTGGCCTTCCGATATTATTGTGCTAGAGCAAAACAGCGCCACCAGATTAACTAAGAAATACAGCCCAACTTTCGCTACCCGCTTATCGAAATGTATAATGTTTTAGAAATGCATCCTCTGCATGCGGTCATGCTTTAACATTAAATATAGTTAGGGTAAACTGCATCAACATCATAAGCTGTTCGTACACCTGACTATATCAAAGAACGAATAATTTCTCTAGGACCAGATATCTGGTATTTGGTTAATTAATGATGGTTGCTGGGTTGACTGTGCCGAAAGGCGAAATGTCAGAGTGAAAGGAAAATTGTGTCACGCCTAAGGCCATTGTCCTGCAAAAGGTGAAGAGTCTAAGTGTCACTGGTCTGCTGTATTGAAAATAAAGGGCCAAGTATAATTGATGCATTTAACGGAAGTTCGAAGATTTTATTTTTTGTAAAAAATTTTTTAAGCTCACACCAGAATTATGCCATGGACCACTGGTAGCGGACGCCTCTTTTGATTCCCTAATTAGCAGCACGAAGTGCTAAAATGGAATCAGCAAAAGGTGAATCATCTTCCCATGTTGTCTTGCAAAGCAGCTTTTTAATTCACTGTCGTTATGCACATAAAAACATGCTGTTGTCAAAACTACGTACCTACATTAGTCATTGAAAGCGACAGGAAAGAGGACAACTCGGCAGAATTTCGCACTGCGTTCATCAATTTGAATGCAAGAGTGACGAAACACAAGTGGCAATTAGGGAGACATTGTTGGAAAGTACGGTCAGAACTGAACAAACGAGTTATTTACGAGTTACTCAACATTCATGAAATAAATGAGTCGATTGAGGGAATGATGTCCAATTTAAATTACGGATGTTTGCGTGTGCTAACGCTGATAAACTGCCCTCGTTTCGAATCTGCCTAAAGCCTCACTAAAAACAGGGAGCTTAAAAGTACGGTTGTTGTCGATGATAACATGCAGGCGCTTAAAGTCCTCGCAGTCAGCAATCGCTTTGCAATCGTCAATCGTTGTCAATGACTCACTTTCATGTCGGCTGCAACAGGGAAACATTGTTTTACATATTTTGTTGAATATTCCCAATATTGTAATGCTGTAAATATTCTGATTAAATACCTAAAGTATGATGTAAAATTTCCTCATCTTTGATACGCGCTATTTATTTGCGTCCTTTCAACAAATACTCCGAATCGTTTATTTCAATATTAATTAAAACAGTAATTGTTCATTTAATGAGTACATGAATATAATAATGATTATCCTTTCTTAATTAACAGACTCTCAAATGACTGATATTATGCGTCAGTTGTTTTGCCTTG